TCAAACTGCTATATATGTAACAGTATAGGAATGAAAATCGGTTCGATCATAATTGAGCAATTTATTATACTTAAGAACAGGTTACGAAAGTGTAAAGTGATATTGTTTCATTAAAAGAATTCGTTTGTAATGAAAATTCATCTACAAATGATGAGGAATCATATGACGAAGTAATTAAATACATAAAGAGGAAAATGATCTGTTAAAAATGTGAACATATATTATTGTGATAGAGAAAGTATTCATGTATGTATTCACAAGTATGATGTTTGACATCAACATTGAGTTCTATGCCAGCGTTATCAGCAACAAGCAAACGTATACTTAGTAAAATTGATTGGAATTAAAAAACAGAAAAGATATCAAGTGAATTCTGAATTATTTGTTGTTTTTGTGAAATTTAAGATGATCTCTTCTTTTCATTGTTGCTTATGAAAAAAAACTAAAGAGGATACTTTTTTATATAAAGTAAATATTTGAAAACTGTACGATGACTGTGAAATTATCTGCGGGATATCGATCATACATACAGGAAAGTTTGTTTTGCGTTTTTCTCAAAATGAAGTTTTGAACAAATAAAAATGAAATTTTGCTCTTCTGTTCTCCTACACGGTATGTCCAATTGGGCTCCACTTTTTTGTGAATACTTTGGTGAAATTGGGGTGGTTGCTTGTTTTTTCTTCAAAATATTGTTTCTATGAAATTCGGCAACCTTTAAAAAATTAGCACCATTGAAAAAAACATGTTTTTTTTTTATAGCGCTTCTAGTATTTTGCTTTTCCTGAGCTCTAGGAACGATATTTTTGAAAGAGGAAAAAAACACGCAACTTGATTTGATCCTAGTTCTCACACAAAAATTGCAGCTCGAAAAACTGAAGTATCGAGTTTTTGTATGTGAGGGGGAACGTTTGGTCATTTTTGTCTTTTGCACCTTCCTACCTCTCTGAAGCAAGCGTTGGAGAATTTTGAGTCTATGACATTTTTCGATTTACTTATCAAAATCTATCTGTTTTGAAAGTTTCATCATTTTTTGTTGATCCGCTTCCGAGAAATCTCGGAAAGAAGAGGCCGTAAATCTCTTGATGTTATTAAATCTACTACTTTTTCTAAATCAAAGTTCTTATAGTTTAACTGTCATCTATTACGTTAAATTTTCAAAGTTGCAATAGCTGACTAGAGATTAACAAGTACATTAATCTTTATGAGAAAATTCATTATTGCAAAAAGAAAACCGTTGGTGATATATACAATATAGATATAAAATAGAAATATATTCTTAGAAGGCACTTACATCAATATTTTCTCGAGATTTGTAAAGCTTTTCCTTTGCCTTTTAGTATTTGATTCAATGAGGTTAAAATCAAATGAGTTAATGGTAAAAGTTTCGATAAAAGTACAAATCAAAACTTTTTATTTTCTTTTAATTCTATTGTACTCTTATGGTTCATTTAGTTTGTTGAATTGAAGATAATTGACCAGATAGCATTTATGTACAGTGAACTTCGTGTATATATATATATATGTTTTTTCTTTTTCTATTTCACTTTACTGTTTTATCTTGTTTAACATACGTTGAAGCGTGCTCAAAGAAGATTATATATAGAGCGCTTAACCTTAATTCGATCACCAAATTTTATCTTTTAAAAAAAAAATTCATAAGTTCTCTCCACAACATCCATTTGAGCTAATTTTTAATTTCCGGGATGCAGTAAACATTTCTCTATCTTTTCATCGATTCTTTTCTAAAAGTTAATTAATCTTTAATTAGCAGTAGTCGTTACAAAGACAGCTACTCACATTTTTTCCTCGTTCTCTTCCTGTCCTAACTTGATCATTCCAGCTATTTTTGTTTCCTAATTCGATCATTCAAGCCATTTTGTAAAGAGTGCTAAAGAAAAACATTGTTTCGACATGAAAAGTATCTTTAATCTTAAAACAAATTACATCATTCGATTCATTAACTCAAAATCTATATTTTCATATAGTTTTTATAATTCTTATGAGAGTGATTAGATTAAGATCAGTTGCCTAATTTGATCACAAATATCATTCGAATGTAATCAGAAAAAAATAATGAAAATTACTTATAAGAATTATAAAAACTATATGAAAATATAGATTTTGAGTTAATGAATCGAATGATGTAATTTGTTTTAAGATTAACGATACTTTTCATGTCGAAACAATGTTTTTCCCGAGCACTCTTTACTAAATGACTTGAATGATCGAATTAGGAAACAAAAATAGCTGGAGTGATCAAATTAGGAAAGGAAGAGAACGAGGAAAAAATTTGAGTAGGTGTCATTGTAACGACTATTGCTCATTAAGAATTAATTAATTTTTAAAAAAGAATTGATGAAAAGCTAGAGAAATGTTTACTCGATTCCGGAAATTAAAAATTAGCTCAAATGGATGTTGTGGAGAGAGCTTATGAAGTTTTTTTTAAAAAGATAAAATTTGGTGATTGAATTAGGATTAGACACTCTATCATCATAGCCATATTCCTCATTTTGTGTAGAATATTTGTGTTTGTCTTCACGGTCTGTACTCAAATGAGATAAAACCAAATGTTCACGAACTTTCATTGACAGATATTTTACAAGAGTTTTTTTCTATTTTATTTGACTTTTGTCTATTATACTTTTTCCTTATACATTCAATTGAATGAAGTTGAAATGATCATTAGCATCCTTAGATGCATTTATTAAATTTTTTAGATTTCTATATAGTTTTATTAATGTTTTTTAATTTTCTTTGATTCGTTATATATATCATCGCGTAAGTTCGAGATAGATACTCCTCTTGAATTACATTTATTGAAGTCTTTCAAATTTTGATTATTATTTGTAGTTTTAAATATAGTTTTTTTTTCTTAAGGTATCCATATCAGTGAACAGAAAACCTTTGATCACACACTATTCACGCAATAATCAAAATTTTAAAAGCATGCAGCCTTTTCTTATTGTTTTATATTCTATGTATATCTAATTGTCTGTAATATAAGAGATTATTAATGATATTCACATACCTGATAATCGAATAGTATATTTTTATTCTGTTAACTAAACACATATGTAAATCATATTTGCCACTGGTTTCGGGTTCATGTTGTCTTCCTAATCTTCAGGTTATGTAATGCAGAATAATAATACATCGATCAGAAATTGTCTTCGAGTGATTACATTTTTCTATTTTGTAATAGTTTGGATTTTCTTGGTTATTTTTCGCTGTCTGTGCGTATTGGCAAAGGTTCTCTTATTGTCTTCATTGCAATTTCTCTTCATATTTTTCGTTCGCCTCTCGTATATGAAGAAAAAAAAAGGGAAACATCAATTTTGTCGAATACAAAAAATGTCGATCGCAAATTTGTCGAATCGACAAATTTTTTTTAAAAATAGCGATTATTGTATTGTTAAGCTTCCTTTCGATGAATTTCAAATTCAATTATAATCACCTAAAATCTGACTTAAAATCAAGTTGGAATCAAGTTGAAATTAACCCTCTACCCCACAATAGGTCACATATGACCCATTTGTAGAACGATCACAGAAGATAAAGGAAGCCTGAGACTGAAAAACTCTCAAGACGTTATTTGTAAGAAACTTCACAAACTATCGATTGGTAAAAAAATATTTTGTTTCATTGTTCTGTCTTCGAGATATGACTTATAAAATCGATAATTTTGAAAAAAAATGTTAAATTTCTCAATCTTTTAAACGAAATGTTCTCTACTTACAGTCGATAGAGGTCATTTAGAATTTCTGTGTGATATTAATCGACGAAGAAGTCCACTGCTGAATTAGATGTGTTTCGAAAGCTTCATGATAACTCCGCGAATTATACATACTAAAGAACACAATCGATCATGTAGTCATTGTTAGACAGATGGAGAATAATCAAGAACAAAATTAATATATGCGTTATAAACCTCAACTCATGAGAAGTCGAAATAGTATTTATGATGAATTAAATTCTTTCAGATGTTAGAAAATGGCTCAGAGTAAAATAGGCTTAAATTCGACAATAGGTGTAAAAAAAGCATGCAATCTTTGATGTTAGTTTTTATCGGTTCACTCGTTGCGTTTTCCTATCACTTCAACAGTATGAGATAGATGTTGCTTCTGTCCAGTCAATAATGTGGTCAAAGAAAAAACATTAAGTCTTATAATGTCGTTCAATTCTCATTTTCCACCACATAATTTTTATATCCATCAAACCGTCATACTTCAGGAACAGGACATTTAGTGAATTAGACTGCACCATTGGCATATTGAACAGGCTAATAGTCTATTTATAAAGTTATTTTATCAGAGGCTCTTCTGAAACCGCTATGGAGATAAAGAATTAACTTAATTTCAAGTTAATTTCAACTTGATGTCAACTTGATTTCAAGTCAGACTTTAGGTGATTATAATTGAATTTGAAATTCATAGAAAGGAAGCTTGGCAATACAATAATCGACATTTTTAAATAAAATTTGGATTCCAATTTTGTCGAATCGACAAATTTGCAATCGACATTTTTTGTATTCGACAAAATTTCAGGCACTCAAAAAAAAAAGACCAACAACTTCAATGATTTTATGAAAAGGATCATTACCTTTTTAAACATAGATATGAGATCTGTGTGAGATATTTCCTTCATAAGACCGCAAAAAACTGTTGTTCATGTTTTTCTAATTGATCATATAAAAATTCGATAACGATTCTTTTCACTTTCTTTTGAATGCATTGAAAAACAATGAATAAAACTGTCGAGTATGGTAGTGTTTTTTAGACCCATTAAGGACATTTTACAGTAAATGATTTCAATAATGAAAAGAAAAAGAATAATAATGTCAGCAATTTCCGTGCACCATGAGGTAGAATAATTAATTCTGAATATTCAAGACTTACTTGATAAGTTCCATTCTCGGACATATGAATAAGGGGAAATATTAAAACATTTATTCATTATATAAACTTATCTTATATAAACTTTTTTTTTTTGAAAAAGAAGATATGCTTTCTGATCAATTTTTTATTGTCAATTATTCGTTAGCTATTGTATTTTCAATCGTTGGCTTAAGTTTATGTTTGCTAACAATTGTCATCACTATTACCCATCGACAATGTCATAATTTTACTAATGTACTCTCTTGTAATACATGTACAGCTGTTACTTTATATTTCATCTTTCGAATTCTTACATGCATCTATGGTCTTCGTCAAGACTGGCAATTTCATCAACCAGCTTGTATTTTTCGTGCATATTGTTCACTTGCATTATGTGCCGCTCTTTGTTATTCATATTCTATCCAAGCTACTAGTCGGCTATTTTTTGCTGTATTTTACAAACATAAATATCTTCTTACATGGCGTACTCATTGGATCATGATTATTGTCAATTGGATAATTAGTTTTATTATATCAATTCAACCATTTTTCTATCAACATGGTTTTGAACTTGAAATAGAATCTCGTAGTTGTGTTGTTACTCCTAAAATTGTATCAATATCTATGTATACACTTGTAATTATATTTATTATTCCTTTGATTGTTGTAACAATTTTTGGTGGTATAATTGTTTATTATGTTCGTCAATCGAGTCGTCGAATAGCAGCAGTTGTATCAAACGTAGCCGAAAATGCATCTACCGTTCAAGTTTCTAAACGTTATGGAAAACGTGAGTTAAAACTTCTGAAAAATTTGATGATTCAGTCAAGCATTATCTCATGCGGAGGAATACTTTATTTGATTCTTGTTGTTTGGTATGCCACACAACAGCAATCTCCACCTGAATCATTGTATTTATTGGCTTTAAATTCAATAACAGTTTTTACTACATTGATGACGATTGTTCTGTTTCTATTGAACAAGACAATAAGAAAAATTACTTTGAAATATTTGTTTCGACTTTGTTAATCGAATATTGAACAGTCAATAAATCATCGACTAAATAGATAATGCCATGTCCATCAATATGCTTTTGAAATTACAACTATTTGCATGTAAAATAATTAGTTATGTTTGTAGAAAATATGTCTTATTCATGTCCAATGTTTTAATAAATATTTGTTATTTTCAATAGAATAACACACAAATTGGATTTGATGAGTTTAACAAATAATATCTTCAATTTTATGTCCTCATAGATAGACTATGATGCAGATATATCTCAGAAAAACTACGTGAAAATCTTTAATAGGGAGATATTTTAAGCATTTCATAGTTGATTACGTATAGCAAAAGTGCAGAACATACTATCGAATGAATGCTAATAGAAAACAAACTTTCAGTTTATTAAATATGAAATCTTTTTATAAATTACGGCATAGTTATTGTCATTGAAGAAAAGAAAGTCGGACAATTGCTGGTTACGACATTTTCTCAGTAGGACACTCAATCTCGCATGTGGATATGAGGGACGTAGCTGTAAGAGATAGAGATGTAGTTGCTGATGTGAGTCTTCTCTTCATCTACATCAACACCCTTATTATATTTTACATCAATATTTCTTAGGATGCAACGATGGCAAAACACCATTCATCGTACTTGTAACGGAACTAGTCTACAATGTATTGTTCATTTGTGTAGGGATATACACTTTCAATAATTACCACTAAAGTGAATAAAGCTGATAGACGCGCGAAAGAACTATGATAAGATTAGTATTTTGGCATATGTTAAGATAGCTAAAGGATGCTAAAAACCGTCGATCTTCGTCGTTAGTTTACTGTTGAATGTCTTACGGGTGTGCCGATAGACGGTGCTCCAGTGGCCCATCACCAGGTTCCTAAATATTTTCATTGCAGAAGACTACAAAATTTATTATTTGAATTGAAGTATATTTAAATTTTCGAAAAAGAAAATCTCCGAAATTATTATAAATTATTACAGAGCGTACAGAATCAATCAAAGACAAAATTCAGACATTTACAGAAAATTTTCGAAATTTATCAGCAAGACATGGGAGACAAATTTCCAAGGATTTCCCATAATAATCCATATATCACAAGGAAATTTCTACTTAGTTTTTAGAATAGGAACATATACAGAGTAAACTACTAGGAAACTACAATGAAAATATCGAAAATACTAACAGCCAAGCAACGTAACCAGTTGAGCAGAGAAAATGCTTCTCATATAAAAATTCTTTTTCTGGTGTGGTACTTGAACAGAAGAGTTTCTTTTAGTATGATAAGATAGAGAATATTGTCTATATCACATTCATATGTGGTGCAAAAAAAATAATCATATACTGTTGTTTCTTTTTTGTAATAATAAAAAACATTAAAAGCTACAAGATCTAGAATGCTCAAATGAAAAATTAGGACAACTTAATATTGCTATTTTCTTCCTTGAAATTCTCCAAAAAGAACTGGTTTCAAAGTGTAAAAGATGCAGAATTTTTCGGACTATCAGTCTGTACGTTATTGCATCATATACACACTTGTTATTGCTTTGCAAAAAAAATAAAAATAAAAACGCATTTATGACTAATGATATGATGTCATATTTTGAAGATTTTCTCTAAGCATTGAGTTCGAAAGGTAATTACTGTTATATCAGAAGATGCAGAGTTTCGCGTTTTACAAAATGAATCTTTTTCTATGGTGTGCATCGTTTTAGTCGCAGATGACAGAGTTGAAATGTACTTGCTCAAAGGGAATGACATCAAAAGTAGATCATCACCTAGTTGTTTTAGCTACTGTAGGATTTCATTTCAGAATATGATTTTGTATCTCAATAATCGACACATTGTTGTATCATTTTTTGGTACCTTATTTGGATTACACCATGAAAACTTATATAATGATATTAATCAAGTCTTTCTTAATGCGATAGCAAGCAATTGGGACTTTTTAGAAATCTTATAATTTAAATACATTTAAAAGTTGATTAAAGCAGATCTTGATTTAAACATAGCACTCGAAATTAAAGAAAATTCAGAATCTTTCAAGTTTCAAACGAAGCCTTGAAAGCTGATTAAACAAGCTAAATGATGAGCTTTAAAGTGGCATCAATAGTATACATAAACGTGAAAATAAAATTTCCATATTTTCTTTACCTTTTAAACATAAAGATTAAGACATAAATCTATAAACATGGAGAATCATATCCCAAAAACTATAAAAATTTTCAGAAACTTCGGTAATTACCGAAAATTTTTCAAAAATTAGCTTGAAATTTCTTTGCATTTTTTAGTATTCTCTAAAATTGCGTGAAAAATTCATTTTAATGTAATGGTAATTACCGTTATATCCCTGATATCCGTTGCTTGGTACTCAGTACTTGTCATCATATCCCGATAATTTTCTAACAGGTCTTTTTGAAGATGTTTCTAATTTCTGAAACTAATTAGAAAATCTGTAGTCAAAGAATAGTGATTAGCGAACTTACCTAGAAATTGCTTTGTTGTGCTTTAACAATCGTCGAAATTGCGTGGAAATTTCTTGGTAGTATATGAATAATTATCGAAGTTAGTTGAAAATTTCCTTCTCATGCCTTGATAAATATTAAAAATTTCCAGTAAATTTCTGTATTTTCTGAAAATATCTTTTTTTTTGCATGATAGCACTTTTCGGACATTTGATGATTTACAAGAGAGATTTTTGTTTTTCAGAAATCTTGAAGACTGTTGTGAGTAGCAACAAAGCAAACTCGAAAGATGTCGCATAGGTCTTATCCATTGTTAAATTTTTATTCAATTGGACTAAGTCACCATTTAACCTACTTTCCAACTTTTGGTGTATAGAAGAGAGAAAAAAAGAGGCTAACAACAGAGATATATTGCTAAGAAAATCAACATCGCTTTTTTCTGCATGCAATCATTCTCAGATTGTTTGTGGTGACGCAACCAAAAATGACGGTTGCATGAGGCTTGCATCATCTTTCAAAAAAAAAATATATATCGAGAAATTTTTATTTTTGCCATTATAGATTTATATAAAACGAAAAAGATAAATAGCATAATCCAAGAAAATGGATGAAGCTCTACAACGACTAAAACAACAGGTCTTTTTAAATTTTTATTCATTTAAAATTTTATTATTTATTTTTGTTTTATTAGGAAGACGAAGTCAAAGAACTTGAAACACAATTATTTAGTCGACCAGAATTTAATGATAACCGTAAAATTGAAGAATTACGAGCTGAAAATGAAAAATTAAACTATCGAGCAAATATTCTTATTCGAGTAAATAAAATAAATATCAAAAGAAAAAGAATCGAAGAATTTATTCAGTAAATATTATTCTTAATTTAGAATATTGAAGAATTAAAAAAACAACAACCACAAGCAATTTCAACAGGAGCTAAACATGATGATAATAAAGACAAAAAACAACCATCACAAACAAAATCAAATGAAAAAAAACAAGATGATTCTAAAAATAACAAACAGCAATCACAAACAAAATCAACTGAAAAAAAACAAGATGATTCAAAAACTAATAAACAACAATCACAAACAAAATCATCCGAATTAAATCAAAATGATAATAAAAATAAAAAACCAACAACAACAACAACAACAACATCAAATAAAACTTATTTTACATCGGGTGCACAAGGTGATAGTCAGCATTCTTATCGAGTATTGGATACATTAATTAGTCTTTTTGAACAAGCTATTCGAAAAGCTTTTCCCGAAGATGTAACTTTACCAGTTCTTGTCGTACCTGGACGACAAACTGATTATCAATGTAATTCAGCTATGCCTATTGCTCAGGTTAGAAGAAATTATAGAAAATAAATAAATTAATATACGAATTCTTTTTTTGTAGAAATTAACTGCTGCTGGCAAAAAAATTGCACCAACAGAAGTTGCTAAAATCATTGTTGAAAATCTTCCTAAACATGAAATATTCGGAGATGTTTGTTATATTTTAATGATTATCAAAATAAAGATTTTTCATTGTTTTTTTTTTTTTAGATTCAATTTTCTGGACCCGGTTTTATTAATGTTACTATTGCTGCAGCATTTGTTTCTGAACAAATTCGAAATATTTTATTGAAAGGAATTTTACCACCCAATGTTTTAAATATTGTTGACAATCATGGAAGTCAAGGTGAACATAAAAAACCAAAAGTTGTTATTGATTTTTCAGCGCCAAATATTGCTAAAGAAATGCACGTTGGACATTTACGGTAAGTTTATAAAAGTCAAAAAATTACAGATGTAATGCTCGATGCAAAAATTTGTCGAAAAAGTTAAAATATTATCGTCGATGCTATCAAGCTGTTACCAATAATGTCTTTCATTATTTTTTTCTGATAGAAGATGTGTGAATATCATAAATTTTTCATAGTATTCCTCTAGTACTTATGAGGAAATCATTCGAAATGATACTCACTACCGTCTGGGTTCATATTGGGTCTGCAAATAGGTCTCGGTAAGATTAGAAAAGTCTAAAAGAGTTGTTGCCATAGGCCTTGTTAGGATCATTTTACTGAATTTTCGGTGTAAAATCTTACTCATAGATATATCTAATGATCTATATCATATCCTTATAGTTTCAGCAAAAATAAAAACATGACTTTTTGGTTGAGATATTGAATTTTCAAGTAAACTCGATTTTTGTATCGTGCGTGTGACAAACCATTATTTTTCTTAGAAATTCGATATCTCGACTAAGGAACACCTACACCCTCACGACTGCGAGTATCAATTCGAATGGTTCTCTCGAGAGTGAAGATCGAAAATCTACTCTTGTCAAATTCTTGAATCATTTGCTACTCCTTATCCTTTAGAATTGAAGTTATTTTCATTTCATATTAAATCATTCTATTTATTGCAAATTATCAGTGCTAACTTTAATTGAAAGAATTGAAGATGAATAATCTCATTTTTTTTAAACAATCTCTCGATCGAATATTAAAACTAAATGTATATATATATAGATCAACTATAATTGGTGATA